GTCGCTTTGGCCGAGTGGTTAAGGCGTGTGCCTGCTAAGTACATGGGGTTTCCCCGCGAGAGTTCGAATCTCTCAGGCGACGTTCAAGTTTCGTTTTCCCTTTTCTTTCAAGTTCAAATTTTTCCCACTAATAATAATAATGTTCAAGTCAAGAGTCCAACAAAGAATATATTATACATTAACCGTAATATATTTTTTCTTTTACTATGACCTACACAAAGTCTTGTTCTTATTTTTATAATTTTATTGAGAAACAAAGCTTTAAATTTAAGAGAGAATACATTTCATATTGACCAGCTTAAATTATAAGGTAAAATTTGCCAAATGCGCAAACAATCAACACTTGTTGTGATTTTATATAGTTTTGACGCTTGCTCGAAGGTTGAAATTAGAGTTGGTTTGGATTTGGGGTCAGATTCATCCACATGTATTCGATTCGATAATAAGAAATTGAAACTTTGGCAAGTTGATATGGGGCCAAAGCAAAGAATCGATGAACAGACGCACTATCAAAATTTCATTGTTTCCAAACGAATGCTACAACACGATCACCGTTTAGTTTCTATTGATTTCTGGGAATAACGTAAATCTAGGCATCAATAACTCTTTGAATTGCCCACAAATATAAAGAATTTGGACTCATTGTTTTATATATCAGATATCAAGAATTTAAAAGATTGAAAAACTCCAAAATCTATAATATATGTTCAACTTATTGCCATGATGACTTATAACTCTCATTTTAAAAAATACTAGAACCAAGATAATTATAAACCCCTAGATAAATACTAAAATTAAAAGTCTTTAATATTCATAATTAATTCGAAATAAAAAAAATTATAATTCGATTACTCTTCAATTGCTTAGAACCAACTTCAATTTAACTCAAAATCGTCCATTTTTTGCTTCAAATGTCTTAGATGAGCTAAGTTATAAATTATATATACGAAAACTTTGAAGAACACTCCTACCCATTCCTTTGATAATAAAGTGCTAAACTGCATTGTATATCAGGATAAATTATATTTTTAATGATTTCTATATCTTGGAAAAATCAAGTGCAATATGACATAATACTTTTACCAGGAATCAACTAAGTATAAAGTGTGGCCACATCCATGAGAATTGTGAAGCTAGAATTCCCTAAAAACACTTATGAAACTAATAGTTGTGCAGGACCAAAATGAAAACAACTATGAGAACTGAATGTGTTAGGAAAGTTTTAGTGTATGTTCAATTATCTTGACTTATACCAATGATTGAATAGTTCAAAACATAACGTTCATTGATTATACAAGTAAGTGCAAGTGTATTCTACTAAAGAAGGTGCAATGTCAAAGGTTACATATCCTGATGCTATAACTTACCGTCTATACTCCTTTTTAGTGTCTGCATTTTCATTTTCATATTTATTGGTAATTTATATTCATGTGGGGGATTGTTGGAAATAAGTTGAGAAAAGAATTTTTTTGATCAATCTTTAGCCAAATATTTATATGGGCCCTACTATTCGATTTTAGAGGGATAATGGTCGAACACGTTTTACTCCATGAGTAAATACGTTCGGTATATTTGGATATCTAAGACTATTTTCGAAAATGAATGAGAAATTAATGGATAAAGTAATGTTGATAAAATGGAATTCTTGGATTAAATAAATTTGAAAATTCCATATTAAATAGACCGCTCGAGCGGTCTTCGGGCACTAGGAAAGCAATTACTTATTGAAAAATTTACACGAATGACTTTCTGGAGCAGTTGAGCGGCCTACCTACAAATAGACATACGTATTCAAGAATAGGCTGATTTTTTGGGTTGTCTCTCATTCCACAACATTTCAACATCTATATATTGGACCCCTATGTTGTATTTATTTATATTCAAATTGAAAAACATCCATATCATTATAAACATCATAATTCCTAAGAAATTGTACATCAAAATTTTTTTCTTTTCATGAAAAAGGATTACAAAAACACTTTTCGATTCGTTGTTCTTATGATTCGAAGTGCTACAATTACAAGAAGGGATTGCTGTATCCTGGGAGAAAATTGCCAAGATGAATTTTCTTGATATTCTTTTATTATGTTTTTGTTTCTTTCAGTTAAACTGAAATCCATTTTCAATTTAAATTTTCTACTCCTTGGATTTTTCTTAATTTCGAAATTGGTTTGCTTTAGTTTTTGTAACAGAAATGACTATTGTCAAATAATAACGCAAAATGTGGTTCTATCTTACTGTTTTAAACTTGGCTAATTTTTTTATTGAAGATGCTCATGTTGTGCAAGAATAGAAAAATAATAGGGTATCATTGATTAGGTTGAACACATGCAAATATTTTTTTTTTTCTATGTAAGAATTATATTTTGAATAGATTGGACAATACACTATTCAATGTGTATTGTGCCATGAAATTTGCTAAAGAATTTTAGGAGTCCTTGTAGATAAAATACAAGATTGAAGATGCCGGTACAAAGAAGTTTATCGTAGGCAAATTTTTAGACTACAAGATCGTAGATTATAAAATGGTGATCAGTTAGGTATAAGAATTACATTTTCTTCTTCATGATATTCATGCTAACAATACGTTTCTCAGTGAAACTTTTCAAGTGACTGCAATTATTGAAAAAACTACCTTCTATGTGAAAAGACTTCAAGAATTATCTCAAAAACAAGAGTAAGGAGATGAATATTAAAGAACTTATTGTTCGGTTGAGAATTGAAGATAACAATGAGTCAGACAAAAGAAATGGAGGATATATTCTACAAGCAAAGGCTAATGTGGTGAAAACTAATTCAGAGAACAAGAAAAATGAAGCATTCTGGAGAATTCTTTAACAGAGGTAATAACAAGAGTGCAAAGAAGTTTAAGGGCAATTGCTACAATTGTGAAAAACAAGACATCGCTCAAATGAATGTCGCAAACCTAAAAAAAAGCCCAAGCAAATGTCAATGATATCAGATATCAACTTGTTGCCTGTTATTTCATAATGCACCAACATTGGCACTGGTGTTATTTGCCATATCTGTGCTGATAAGTTACAATTCTACTTTTAAAATATTTCACATGTTTTGTTCCTTTTTCTGAATCTATTCCCCTTGATTGTGGACAAGGAAACTCATATGGAATATACCTCCAAAGATTAATGATGAAAGGTTATCATATACTCCAACAAATGGTGAAAAACTACTTATGGAAAATTCTTCAAGTTCAAAGGTTAAAGGACGAGGCAAAGTGGTGTTCAAGATGACGTTTGGCAAAGAACTTACCCTCAACAATGTGCTTGATGTACCTAATATTCGCAATAACTTGGTGTCTGATTTTTTAGTTAATAAGAATGGTTTCAAATTAGTCTTTTTATCTAATAAGTTTTTACTTACAAATAACAATATGTATGTAAAAAGTATTTCATTAATTTTATTGATGACTGTACAAGAGACTATTACGTATACTTGTTAAAAAGAAAAGATAAGTTTTGGAAGTGTTTAAACAGTATAAGAAGGAAGTTGAAAACCAATTTGACAAACGAATAAAAAATATTTGTAGTGATCGAGGTGGACAATATATAGCACCATTTGAGAAATTTTGTTCAAAATCTGATATTATATATCAAACTATTGCACCATATTTATCTCAATCAAATGGCATTGTTGAACATAAGAATTGTACTCTTAAAGAAATGATGAAAACTTTATCAATAAGTTCTGATTTACCCAAAAATTTGGGGGTTACGCAATCCGTTCAATAAATCATATTCTTAATAAGGTACCACACAAAAGTAAAGGTGAAATCCTGTGTGAGTTACAAAAAGGTCGAAAACCTTCAAAAAATATTTAAAAGTATGGGGGTGTGGCCAACGTACAAATACCTATGTCTAACTAACTTAGGATCAGACCTAAAATAATTGACTATGTATTTATTAGATATGCAAATAATAGTAGTATATATCAATTCCTGGTTCATAAATTAGAAATTCTTGATGTAGATGAAGGTACTAAAATTGAATCAAGAAATGCTGCATTTAAAAAAAAAACATATTTTCTTTGTAAATTGAAAGAAGTAAATTCACAAAAACAAACTTATGATACTACAAATGGGAATCATTAAAATGATGAAAAACCAATGCGCAGCAAAAGGACGAAAATATCTAAGACATTTGTACCAAATTTTCTAACATATTTACTAGAAAAGGAATCAAAGGTATTTATCGAGACAATGTCCACTCCAGAAGCGCAATTTTGAAAAGAAGTTGTCAATAGTTAAATTGAGTCCATTATGCAAACTCATACATGGGAATTTGTTGATATCTAAGATACCTGAATGATTGTCACTATCTTAGTCTCACAATGTTGGGACTATATAAAATTCAAGGCTCATGATGATAAACCGTTAAAACGCTAGTAGACCTAAGTCTACTCTTAGTCAAGAATACTGGTGAACCAATACCACAATTAAGATATTAACGCATTACAGGAAGTTAATGTGTTACAAATTACAAGTGTCCACATATAACATATGCAGACAACAAATTAAGCAGATTTATAAGTAATCCAGGAAATGGTCATTGGAAGGCATTAACAAAGATTCTTAAATATTTAAGACATGCCGTTAATTATGAATGACATTATTCTAGATATCCAATTGTGTAAGAAGGATATACCAATGCAAATTGGATATTCGATGCAAAAGACTCTCAATCTCCAAAAGTGGTTATATTTTTATCATTGAAGGTGTAGCCATATTTTGAAAATCCTCAAAGCAAACTTGTATAATTCGATCTACGATAGAATATGAGTTTATAGCTTTCGATAAAGTTGGAGAAGAAGTAGAATGATTTCGTAACTTTTTAGAAAACATTCCATACTGTAATAAGCCAGTGTCTCCTATTAGTATAAATTGTGATAGTCAGTCGGCAATTCGAAGAGCACAAAATAGTATGCATAATGGTAGATTTCAACATATTCATCACAGACATAATACCATTAAATAGTTGATTTAAAATGGTGTACTCTTTATTGACTATGCTAAATCAAAAGAAAAAAAATATAACGGATCCTCTTACTAAAGGAAATTCGAGGGATTGGGTAATCAACATTAGTAGTAACCCATTCTAGTTGACTGAAGAGGCCAAGATCTTGGTTCTACGGAACAACTAAGCTATGAATAATTCAGACGAGCACTTTGAAGAATACTCCTACCCAATAAAGTGCTAAATTGTATTGTATATCGGGAAAAGTTGTACATTTAGTGATTCTTATGAGAATTTTGAGGCAGGAATTCTGTAAAATATTGTGAAACTAAGAGTTGTTTAGTGCCAAAATAAACACAAAAATGAGAACCGGATATATTAAGGAAGCTATAATGTAGGTACACTTTTCTTGACTTACACCAACGGCTGAAATGTTTAAGATATCATATTCACTAGACAAGTAAGTCCAAGTGTATTCTACTAAGGAATGTTCAAAGCTAAAAGATATGTCTTCTGATACTATAACTTACCGTTTGCACTCCTTTTTAGGACTTGCTTTTTTCATTTGCATATTTATTGGTAATTTCCATTCATGTAGGCGATAATTCGAAATAAATTGAGAAAAGAATGATTTTGATTAATCTATAACCAAATATTTATATGGGTCCCACTATTTTATTTTAGTGGGACAATGGTCGAACATATCATACTTCGTGAGTAGATAAGTTTGACATATCTGATGTCTAAAATTATTTCCAAATGAATGAGAAATTAATGGATAAAGTAATTTGATAAAATGGATTTTTTGGAATAAATTAATTCAAAAATTCCATATTAAATACATAGTTCAAGCAGTCTTCTAACTGAAAAATGACTCTTGAGCGACTTTCTAAAGCTATCGAGCAACCTTACGAATAGATATACGTGTTCAAGAATATGCTGATTTTTGGGTTGTCTCTCTATCCACAACCTTCCAATCTTTATATATTGGACCCCTCATGTTGGATTTATTCATATTCAGATTGAAAAACATCCTTATTATTATAAACATCATAATTTCCAAGAAAATCTACATCAAACTTTTCTTTATTTTCGTTAAAAAGGAGTAAAAAGCAATTTCCGGTTTGTTGTTCGTGTGATTCGAAGTGCCGCCATCACAAGAAGAGATCGATACATCTTGGGAAGGATAACTTAAGAAATATTTATAATTTTGGGTTCCTATTGAAAAATCATGAAAAACATGGGCAAACATTTGAATCATCCAAGCTCCAAATCAAGCAAAATCAAAATCATAATAGGAAATCTTGCACAAATCAAGTCCAAACAAGATCAAGAGCGGCTTCAACTACCTTTTCTTCAAAATTTTCTTTTCCTAATATGCAATAATCAATCCAAATCTACGAGTTTGTGTATTTCTGATTTTTTATTCATTTATTTCATATTTTGTTTGATTTTGATGCTGTTGAGATTTTATTGTTCTAGTACATATGAGATTTCATCTTTACATTAATTATTTTTAGTTAGTCTTTATTAAAATTCAAATTTGTATGAATTTGATTGAGTTAGTATATATGAAAAATTAATTTTGAATCAATTCAAGTGATGCATCTTAGGTGTTTGGAAAAATGTAAATACAATTATGAGAATGGGAAAATTCATATTTTCTGTCACTTTTTTTTTTAGAAGGTCATAGACTATCTCATTTGAATTTTATTGGATCAATTATAAGAGATGTATACATGTGTTTTTATAAAAATTACTTATGAATATGAATTTCAACCTTGCTTTAAATTAAAAAGTGAGATAATGCAACATTTTATTTGACTTTTGCATCGGTGGAATTTGAAAGTGATATATCCTAGCATTTGTTTTCAAAAAAAAGTCGCACACCATTTCATTTTATTCTTTTCATAGATATAGATAAAATTAATTTCTTCAATTGTTATGAAGGCAAATAAAAACTAGATAATGAATATAAATTATTGGAATTGTTGTTCCAATAGATTGAGGTTGAAAACAGACTTGGCAAATGAATAAAAAATATTTGTAGTGATCGAGGTAGAGAATATGTAGCACCATTTGAGGAATTTTGTTTAGAATTTGGTATTATATATCAATGTTTTGCTCCATATTCACTTCAATC